GACCACAAAACAGACAAAGTAACAGAAAATGAAGAAGCTAAAGTGCTCTGAGACTTTAGAATTCAGATAGATAAGCACCTGCCACACAACACCCCAGACCTAACAACTGTTGATAAGAAAGACAAAAAAGTCTGGATAGTGGACATTGCAATACGTGGAGACACCAGAATAGAAAAGAAAGAACTGGAGAAAATCACAAAATACAAAGACCTGCAAATAGAAGTAGAATGACCGTGGCAAAAGAAAGCAAAGGTAGTATTAATAGTAATAGGCGCCTTGGGTATAACCCCAAAACATCTGGAGTACCACTCGAAGACTATCAGCATTGACAAAACCACCATCAGTCAATTGCAAAAGGCAGCTTTACTTGGAACAGCACTGATACCTCTAACACCATCAAACAACATCTGCCTATCCCAGGTCCTTGGGAAGGACTTGATAAGTGGATAAAAATGCCAAATCCAGTCTAAACATTTGATGGACATTGCGACCAACAGTAATAACAACAATTTCATGTGAATCCAGAATAAAACATGTTTTGTGTCATCCTTAGAAGATACTTAGCTTGTATAAACTGAGAAGTACTTGCCCCCCAATGATTTTGCAATCTAAGTGAAGAACAAACAGAGGAGGAGAAGGGAAGTGGTAAAAGATAAAGCCTGCTTTGAACTGAGCTTAGATGCTGGTGATTTCATAGGTATGTCCACATAGTTTTCTTGGCAACAATATGGACGTAGATGGCCATTGGCTTCTTATGGGATGTTATTTTGATTTTAGCCCTGGGATTTACTAGTAGTCTTAGATCCAAGCACAAGCTAAGTCCATTGCTTGCCTCTACCTAAGTGAGCCAAGATCAGCTAGTGATGCTACCTAGCTGGGTGAGGTCAACTAGGAAGTAGCATATTAGTTTTCCTGTTACATTTGCCAAGGCTTGATTACAGGCTAATTACAGGCTGTTCTGACCATTGAAAGATTGGCAAGATACTTCAGAAAAAGGACATTGACTTCTTTATGAGTCTAAAGCTGACTGTCTACGAATCAGAGAAACTGACTACTAATCAGAGCAGTAATCAAGCCTAACACAGAGCTACCTTAACTCAGTGTTTCTCAAACTTGGCAACTTTAAGACGTGTGGACTTCGACTCCAAGAATTCCCCAGCCAGCATGCTGGCTGGGGAATTCTAGGAGTCGAAGTCCACACGTCTTAAAGTTGCCACGGTTGAGAACCGCTGCCTTAACCAATCAATGTCATCAGTGCCTAGACTTATTTAAATTTGGTAGGCTATTAGTACTGCAGTCAATCAAGTAGTCAATCAATCAATCAATCTATGGTCAAGGGGCCCCATTCCATCCCCCCAATTTGCATCAAAGCACAAATCCCTTTTTCTAAAGTACAAGCTTCTTGTCTGTTTCCATGATGGCAGACCCTGGGGCGACAATTCCATATTTGGACCATTTCATTCAGTCATGCCATCTCCCTGCCATGTTAGGTTACCAGAATGTGGGAGATGGCATGAGCCAAGCATCTTCACTTGGCTGTGCACAAAATGTTGCAAACTGCCATTGCTTCTGCAGTAAGATGCACATTTGTTCCAAACCTGAAGATTGCAGCAGGATGACACCATCCGTGACAGTGACAAATAAAAAATAGCAAGGAAGGTTCAGTTGCCCCATCTAGAAAAATCCCAAGGTTTCTAGGGTAACGTGGGCTTTGAAGGAAAAGTGAAAAGGGATTGCAGTGGTAAGGACAAGGAATTTGAGCTGGATCTAGGTGCAAATTCGTATCTTTTATTTTTAATTATTTTATTTATTTAATTATTTTATTTTATTTTATTTTATTTTATTTTATTAATTATTCTTATTGGATCTAGGTGCCAAGCCCAGGTATGTAGGCTATGTGCCTTCAGAACCAAATGTCTCATAAAGATATAGAGAACAAGAAATAAAAATAAAGCCCCCAAAGAATGCTCTGGCAAGAATTCAACAATCTCACCCTTAAAATTTATATGAGAATGCCAAAGTGGTACACATTGTTGGGATTTCAGCATTGTCACCTGAAATCTTGCAAGCTCCCATATCTGAACATTAACATTACACACATCTGGCAATCTTACAAGATTTTGGCAATATTTAATTCTTTTGATTTTGGGGTGCCCCAGATGGCTGGTATCCATGTGTGCTGTATTGTTGATTCCTTCAGTACACTATTTCCAACTTGGGATTGCTTTCAGACTAAGAATTTTACCGGATTTGAACATGTTCCAAGTAAATTTCCTTAAGAAGGTTTTCTCAATTTTTTTTAAAGGATTATTAGACAATACTTCAGCTTCAGTGATGGACAACTCTAAAGGCTTTGCCCTGATGTTCAGCATTATAGATGAAAATCTCAGCTGGTACCTGGATGAGAATATAAACACTTTTTGTTTAGATCCTAGTACAGTCGATAAAGAGGATGAAGATTTTCAGTTCAGCAATAAGATGTTTTGTAAGTTGTTGCCATAACTGTTGCCATTGTAAGTTGTTTTTACAGCCATAACTAGCTTGGAGTGTGACTTCTGCTGCCATTGCTTTTCTTAAATAAGAAACTTGAAATGGTAAGTTACATTTCAATAATATTATTAGGGCCTTCCACTTAGATTGCTTGCAGGTTAAAACAGAGTTTGCAAGGCTAAGTACCTTTCATTTCAAGTTGTGCTTCTCACTTGATTTTGACCTTGAGCCAAAGGGTGACATTTCAGCATCTTCTCTGGAAAAGAGAGATTATGTAAAGTAGGGGAGGGTGGATTTCAAGCCTGTGAGATTCATTTTATATTTTATTAAGACCTCCATGTTCATTAACTGGAGCTTAGTGTAATGTCATACAAACATGCATGCGTGCATAAAGGACCAAGAAGGAAACTAGAAGTCAAGTGCAAAGGGCATGAAAGATGATAGGACCATATCAGAACTAAGGAGAATGTTGATGTCAGATAAGTTTCAATTAATTCAATAACCAATATATGTGGGCAGGGTCTGTTTATAGCCTTAGAATTTTATTTTGATTAACATAAGTAAACAGCGGGAATAGTATTTTAGTCTAGAAGGGATAATACTTTGAGATTCCCTGTTCCTCTCCCAAGAATGAGGTGGTGCAGAAGGGTGGAATAAAAGAGTTGAAATGGACCTTAAAAGTTGTCTAGTACAATCCAATCTCCCACTTACTGAACAAATAATGCAAGATGCACCTACAGAATTCCAGACAGATGGCCATCCAGCCTCTGATTAGTTAATTCCAGAGATGGAGAAACCACATGGGTGACAATCAGTTTCACACTGGACATTGGCATTCCCTTTAGCTGCTTAACCTAACATTGCAAAATGCTGTTTTTTAATACTAATTGCTATGTGCATATTCTCAGGATTTGTTTTAGAAAGCCAGTGCTTTGTTGCATTCCCATTTCTCCTACCCATTGATTGTTTTCTTTGTGTTACATATTTATAGCAATTAATGGATATATGTTTGGAAACATCCCCGGCCTGGAAATGTGTGCTGACGATTTGGTGTCTTGGTACTTGATTGGAATGGGGAGCGAGATGGATATTTACTCTGTGCGCTTCTTTGATCACACCTTAATTAACAGAGGATATAGGACAGATGTCATTAGCCTCTTTCCTGCCACTCTCATCACAGCAGAAATGATTGCAGAGAATGTTGGGACATGGCTTTTATCCTGTGAAGTCAATCATCACATGCCAGGTATACAGTGCAACGAACAGAAGCATGATAGGTATTCAGAAGCACATGCCATGTTATAAGGCAGTGTGGAAACTTTTCTCCATTTCAGACCTGGGCCAGAATTTGGATCAAAGCAGATCCTAAATCCGTGGCAGACCTGAATCTAACTGGGCTCTAACCCTTACCTCTATTGCTAAACAACCCTGAGTCCTGTATAAGTGTGCTTGGGCCTATTCTAAAAAGAGCATTTGGGGCCATTTGGAGATTTGTGCTCAGAAGATGCTGGAGGAAAGACCAGTTAGGAAAATTCAGAAGTTCTACAGTGTTGCTCTTTGAGACTAAGAAATCATTGTCATGGTTCCAGTTGGAGAGTCTCAAATGGAAGTAATTTGAGTAACGACAAAAGAATTGGTGGGGACGCCTTTTGGGTGGATGGGGGAAGAACCAATTTTGTTACTGCAGAACATATGGCAGCTCAGGACAAACTAGTGATGTTCGCTCCTTATTCTCAGCATTTCAAGGCTGCAGATATGAAAAAAGATCACGGTTCATTTACAAATTGATTTTGAGAGACCCAGGAGTGGAACTGATAACAGTGTGCGTGTGCCTTGAATGGACTGTGATAAGCATCTTGGATAAAGATGGCTTTGGTGGGATTAGATCAAAAAGGATTAAAGGCTTCTCATGTTTCCTTTTTGCACTGCAGCTGGTACGGCAGGATTATATAGCGTCAAGTCCTGTGGTGAAAACATAGTTGTCCCTTCCTGGAGGGGTCAGAAAAGGAAATATTTTATTGCTGCTGAAAGAATCCTGTGGGATTATGGGCCTGGTGGCATTAATGCATTCACTGGACAACCTTTAAATGCCACTGACAGGTCAGCATCATTTATTAATTTATTCAATCCCCCCGCTTTCCCCCCCTCTTCTGTTAATATGTTTTCCCTCTCATTAACACAAGTTGCAAGTCACTTCATGACAGCCTGGAACTTTCATATTAACTTACTTATCCCACATAATTGTGTTGGCAAAACACACAGAGCTAGCTAGCTGCATTTTCATAATGTACAATATTTGATTAGTTTTAACTTCAGATGATTTTAATGGTTTATTATGTCCTGCAAGCCCAGGACATAGCCTATCTGGTTTGTTTGTGAGTCAGTGAACATATATACCAGGTTATGCATGTTGTGTGAACGTAATGCATGGATCTTAACTTACAAAACGGGTGAAGTTCCAGATTCAGACCACAAATTGATTGGAATGGAAATTCATTAAGTGACAATGAGCAAACTGTTTTTTCCTAACTTCTGTCCCTGTTTTGAAGTATATGATCTGATCTACTTCAAATGAGTCACCTATGCAGGTATCTGAGTCAGGTTGCTCCACTACATAGCCCAGCATTACAAATCCATGGGGAGCTTTGTCACTGGCATTCATGCTTTGTGTTTTCACAGTGACTCAGCACCTTATTTTACACAAGGAGAGGATCGAATAGGAGGGCGGTATTGGAAGGTCCACTATGTGGCCTACACTGATGGTAGCTTTAGCAGAAGAAAGAAGCAACCTGAAGCTGAGGCCCACCTTGGCATACTTGGTATGAGTTGGTGAATAATTTGGAGGTTTTTCATGGCACTGGTTCCAGTCATACTTCTCTGATGACGGCACCTATTCTAAGAGCAGTTCTTAACCTAGGCAAGCCAGATGAAATCCTAGCCAACAGTACTGAAATTAAAGTCTGCATCAGGACTGAGCCACGTCATATTGCAGACGTGGGCTTCCTAATAGCACTGTATCCCTGAGATGTAGTTTTCTCTGTGCAAGGAACTTTAAATCATAGAAGTCCCCATCTCAGTTTTGTGAATGAAAACTGAATCTGGGTTATGTGAGCAAGAACAACATCAGAATTTTTTATGGAGCATGGAATTCGATGACATGGAATTAGTGCTCTTTATGTCAGAAGCTGGGAAGAAGAAGTGCCAAAGGGAAATGCAGGTAGTCCCCGGGTTAAGAAAACCCGATTTAAGGACAACCTGTAGTTAAGAATGGAGTCTACTGTAACAAAATTCAAGTTAAATACACAGTGATTTGAGTTAAATACACAATGGTTCAAGTTCATCACACAATACTACTTATACAGCACTATATAATAATAATGTTCCGGCTTATGTACAAATTCAATTTAAGACAGGCCTTGGGAATGGAACTTGTTCTTAAACTGGGGACTACCTGTAAATCTAGAATCCCATTTATTCTCTCCCCATCCTATATTTTCTCTTTGCAATGACATGGATGGTGGAAAGGACAAAAAAACAGCACTTTGCTGTTGCCTAGACAAATGTGTTCCATGCAGTTGTCAAAATTAGCCATGGAGATGTTGTGCTTCAGCAGAGAGAGGGATAACAACAATGGCGAGAGTGCAATTTGATTACATGGAGAAAGGGAGCTTGTAAAGTTATTTTTTGGAAGAGATGGTAGTGAGAGTCACAAGGAAGAATGGATGGAGGCTTTTTGGAGCCTCGTGCAAGGGCCTTCTGATGAAAGAAGTAAAGAGATTTTCTAGTGCAGAACTAGGAAGATGCTTTCAACCAATCCTTTTTTAACAATTAATTTATCTGCCTCTAATTTCAAGGCCCAGTTATCAAAGCTGAAGTTGGTGATACCATTTTGGTGACTTTTCTCAACAGAGGAGACAAGAACCACAGCATAATGCCCCATGGTGTAGCTTTCAATAAGTCATCAGAAGGAATCTCTTATGCTGATGGTAAGTGAGTCTATGTTACTTCTCTCTCTGTATTTGGTTTTCTACCCATTCTCTAAGAAGCTTAACAGAATACATAAAACAAGCATCAAAAAATTACTTGAAATTATTTTTTTCTGTTTTGAGTGGCCAATTCCAGACTGCATCACAAATAGTTTCTGAAATATTTCTTTGCTACATGGTATGGATGATAAGATGCAGGACAAAGTAGTCCAGATCTTCATTGGACACATGGAACTTATTAGGCAGAATTTTGGATCCAGGCCCTTTTAACCTCATAACAACCTTCTTGGGGGATGTAGATCCCTGCCACATACCACCAAACCTGCAGAAGCAATTTGTAGGTGCTCTATCATCTTCCATTCTGATGCCTCAGAAATAAATGCTGAGGACAAGGAACACAAATCTCTTCCCCAACTCAAGACATTGCAGGTTGGCCCCATTTAAATGACACTTAAGGGAAGTCAAATTACTTGCCCAACCACCAATCCACATCCTTGCTTAATCTTGTTTTTATTTATCTGGAGCAGAGCAGCACAAATACCTTGGCTGCACCGCCTCATGCATTTAACTTAGTTACTGAATTCATCTATTAGCAAAATGAGTTGCATGATAAATTTACCAGATGGGTTGGGTATACAAATGACCCAAAGGACTCACCTAAGTGGCTGCTTTAATGTGCTTTCTTCCAGCATTATTTGCTCTGTCCTGACAGCCAAGCTCTAACCAGCCTCAGTAATGAGACTGAGACAAATTACAGAAAGCAATTAGTGGATTTCCTGCTGACATGAAAACATCCACCAGTCATTTTCCTTAAAGAGGTCTCAGGCTGGAGCTGTCAGAATAGCAAGTTTTTGACAAAGCTGGACACAGGAGTCAGAACTTGATCTGAGGGGGGAGTGGGGGCTTCATGCCTCTGCTGCTTTACTGGGAAGTCCCCATTCACCCCACAGATTAGTCACTGCATCTCCTTACACCCCATCAGTGATCTGCAAGTTAACTCTCTTCACAATCTCTCTTGTTCTGTTTCTCTCATGTTTCCTCCTACTCACTTCATCCTTCTCTTGATTTCTCTCTTGTGCTGTTTCTTTTGCACTGAATCTGTCACTCTCATGATCTCTCTTGCACTCTCACACTCAGTTGTTCTCGGTTGTACTTGCTTGTTCTTTCACTTTCTTTTGCTCACTGTCTCCCAACAACAGATGGGAAGCTATTAATAGGGACTGATGGGTGGATCCCCACTTTTTCTGCCACTGCCCCCAAACCTGGCCTTATCGGTCATCTTCTCCATCACTCCTGCTGCTAGAATGGCAATCTATAGCTGCAGCACCTACCATTTTGCAAAAGGAAACAAACATGGGAGGGTTTGCATTATTCTAAGTCCATGAATATAGCCTATAGATAGCAGTTCATTTATTAAAGGAGAAGAGAAGGTGCTACTTTGGTCAGGGAACTCTTTCAGAAAGTGCAGAGTTGCCTGGACTGAATGTGGATGTATACATTGCAGATGAAGAGTGAATAGGAGCTGAGTGTTTCTTTACCAGAGTCATCACCAAAGGGCCAGAAATCAAGTGTACAGCAAGGGTTGTGTCTGAGGAAGAGCGAAAACACCACTTTAGCATCAGAACAGAAAGTTAGGCAGCCTCAGTTATGGGCTAGAGATGAGTCGGAGGCTGCAACATGAGGCCGTGTCTTTAAAGATCCATTAGCAAGGCGTCTTCAAGGGTGGACATGTGGATGAACCCTAAACTATACTCAAAAATCTCTTAGTCATTGTTAAAATGAAGTTTAGCCTGTTGTGCAAATACAGCCTGCTAGGTGCTTAACTGATCTGGATCTGGTCTGGATGAATCTCTGGTGTGAACACAATCCATGAATTAC